AAACCCCACTTAAACCAAAGATACGCCAATGGTTATCAACAACGGATCAATCAAACCAAATCCTAATCCGACGCTTCCACGCTTCTACCAACCTATTTGCGCTCCATACATTTTATCAACTAAAAGCACTAAAGACGATCTTCACAAGTGATAATGCGGAAGTGGTTGAGCTGCTTAGTCACAGCCCACTCAACCAGTGTTTTGGTTTAGTTTCACAATTGGGCGCGGTGCTCGTACACTTCTGCTGTGTAAATAACTTCTATGTTTTTATATTGTCATTGATGTAAGTTCATACTTATTAACCTTATTATTAGTTTAATAACTATATAAACAAGCATCGCTGTGGATGCTAGATAAGGTACTGGGACAAGATACCTACCCAGGACTAGCATAAGACCTTTTTAAGGCTTAAGTTAAGCTACTTTCATAGGAGGAAAGGTGCAAAACAACTGGTAGATTAGTTTAGAGTATGAAGCAAGGCCTAACTTTTAGCATACCGTAGCTTCATCTTAAAAAACGTATCAAAAATCTGTTGGGAATTTTAGCGACATAGCAGGCTAGAATATTTTATTTGCAAATTGACAGTAATAACTCCAGGATGTAGCCTTTACTTTTAAAATCCAATGTGAGGTGTCATAATTAAAATCACGCGGCGACTATTGAAAAAATCAGCTTGTAACATATTGAAACACTCGCACATTTTTATTGAATCGGTGTGGTAAAAATAAGTATAAGCCCTACTTGCAGGGCCAGCTGCAAGAGGTCTAAAGGTCAGGTCAGTGGCATGGGATGACCGGCATACATTATTTACAGCTGTAGGTAATATAATTAATTTTGAAAAGATAATCCAATTCAAATATATTTTGCAACATCATAAAAAGCTGCTTAATTACAGAGGTTTACAATAATATTATGCAAGAATTATAATAATCAAACATTTTAAAAGCAATAAATACTAATAATTAATATAAATAATATAGTATTTTTTATTATTGTTGCTAAATTTGTATTTTTAAAAAATTTTTGCAGGTCAGATGCCCAGCACATCGGACCATTGAAGCTAAACACGAGATAAATGTATTTAGCATCATGTTTATCTTTAAATCATTTTTTTGTTCTATAAATTTTAATCATGATTGACAGTATGTTTTAGGAGGTAGACAGAATAATTATCAATAAGTGAATTAAATCAACTATTCTCCAACCTTTTAAAAGCCAACATTTAAAACAAAAAAATAATATATAAAAAACCAAAAAACAGTTTATTTTATATTGTTTCTGTTCTCAGAATGAGTACCACTGTAGAAATTGAGGATTCAGAAAAATTCCAGTCTGCTATATCGTCGGTGAGATCAGATGATGGAGAACTGGTTCGTCAGAGTTGGGTTTTGATCGGTCATGTCGATCAGAATCCAAACATGATACATATCGTTGACAACGATAACAGTCCCGGAGCTCAGATCAGCGGTTTTGTGTCTGGATTGCAGGAGGATATGGTAATGTATGGCCTCTTGCGTCATTCAGTTACCGTGGATATGTCAGCTACAATCAAGTTTATCTATGTTCATTGGTAGGTTGATGATCTTTTTTATTTGTTAATATTATATCGATATTTATGATCATATTATCATACTGTACAGTAGCTCAATTGTAAGAACTTTATTAAAACAGTGGCTGCACTCCGCAATATTTAGCATTAGCTCAACCTGCCCTCGATAAACTAACGTTACGTTATCTCACTATATTAATTGGATTAACACATTATCAAGGATAAGTACTGAGTGTTAACACTGGTGTCCTTGGATTCAGTTATAGGTAAACGGATTAGTTGCCTTTTTTATGAGGTTTTAATTGTCCTTTACCGCCGAAAGTGCGGTTTTCTAACGTTAGTTTATGGAGGGCTGGTCGGCCTAATGGGTCTACTGTGAATGCATTCCTTTTTGAATGTCATCATGAATATTTTCATATTACTCGATTGTTTTTATTGTATTTTTACCTTGGTGTTGTGTTTGAAATAAAAAATAAATGAAATAAAATAAATGAATGAAAAGGTATATAAGCAGCTGGTTTTGGTCTAAACAATTCATATTCCAATAAAAATTAGGACAAAAAAAAGAATTCTTGTGTTGGCAACTTTTTGGGAATTGAATCCAAAAAGTGGGTAGGTCAGTAGGAAAAGTTTTTTTTTTCTTACCACTAGTATTTTTATGCCTAAAAAGTAGAAAATACACAACACAAATTCAACAAAGACCATTTTAAAATCTATATTTAAGAGCCAAACGATCGCCTGCCGTCCAGCAAGATAGACCTATTCCTGTTTCCAGCCCTTTCAGCTCATTAAATAAATATTTGTTGTTGTAGCAAAAAAAAAAAAAAAAATGCCTCAATTTCGTACATTTTGGGTCGATCTTTAAAAAAATAAGTTTGCGAAACAAGGTATAAAAAACTATATTTAAACACATTCCAGGAATGGTCGAGGATTTACCCAGAACAATATTATGTGTTCAAAAAAACGTTTTGTAGAACCATAAGTACGTACTTATATTAAACCAAATTTCACAATGTCATAACCCTTGAACGTTGTGTGAACGTTATTTTCTGATATATTGTACCAAACCACAATGTTTGCGAATGTTAGAAGAATGGTTTGTGTATACTGTTTCACATCAGAATATTGAAATTAATGGTTTAAAACCTTTCCAATTAAGTAAAAACAATTCTCTTAAAGCCAAGTATTAGCAGTGGTTTGGTGTATTGCGGAAGATGATGGTACCAGATGTCTATTATAAAACAATACTTCTTTGTAGATCCTGATATTAATATGGGCAAGAAAACCTCTTCATAACTCAATATTATTTCCATTCAGTTGTACATGCATGGCCTTTCTAGACAGAATTAGGTCTGTGATCCAATCTTAAAGTAATTCAGCTGCCTATATTTAGCTGACCTGTTTTGGCCCATTCTTGTAGCACAAATACAGAGTTGTGCTGGTAGTCATATATTATACAAATTTAGAAGTGTGGACAAAGCTAGAAATGTAAAGAACAACTTTTTTGGCCGCAACGTTTCCAGTTACTGAACCTAAAAATAATATGGATGTAAGATACAAGGAAAATATCAGTGTAGAAAACAACTTTAGTTGGCTTTATATAATTTGGTTAAGAATTGCTTGGTTGAACCAGGGAGTTGTTATAGGTTGAACATTAAAGTCATCAAAGGTGAATCAAAATAATAAACATAGGTGATTTTCGCTTGGCCCACTCATAAAGTGGTTCAAGTCTGAAATTTGTTTGTGCACATTTTAATATTATATGTAGTGTAGCAAGTTTTTAAGGCCTTTATCCCATATTTAAATGCATTACTGTAAATCTTTAAAAGATTTATAAAAAGCTATTTAAAGCTTCAAAAGAAAGAAATAAAGTTACTGACTTTCCATGTTACACAGATGAAAATAAATCAGTTTTTACTATATAGTTCTTATTTAACTGCAAAAATGCTTCTATTCAATTTAAATCCTTATAGTGGTTTTGAAAGCTAGTTATTTATTAAAATTTTTCATTGATAAGTTATTTTCAAGTACAGTATTGTTAAAAGTACTGTAAAATGCAGATGGTATTTTAATAACATATTTACTATATTTCGGTACATTTACCATAAAATAAATTACTTGGTGAAGTATTTTGAAATCTTTTTATAATTATGAATTAATCATAATATTTTGGTTTGGTGGTTATTTAATATAATAAAATAAACAATAAACTTATCAACAAACATCAATAAAATACAGACATTTCAAATGTAACATTTGTAAGAACATTTCTATTTTTTGTTTCTTTGAAGGATTGGTTCAAAAGTTGCTCCATCAAAGAAGGGTCGGTACGGTGTTGTTCACGGAAGTGTGAAAGCTATTATTGGAGACAGTCATCTTACAATTGAAACAAGCAGTTTAGATGATCTGAATTTAGAGTTGATAACTAAACAGGTATGCACATCCCAAACCATAGTTGTACAGTAATCACAGTTGTGCGCAACAAAGGCCTATCATTCTATTAAAATCACATCATAGAGGCATTCGTAATTCACACAATTTCACCTCCATCACTATACAGGTGCAGGTCCATTTAACCAGCTTGAGAAATGCGGGGGATAAATTTCTCATCTGTATGGATCTTAATAAGGGGAGGAGGTAGTCCCACTAAATCTGGGTCCCATAATATGTTTGTTTATAGCCCTGGGTCTTAATAGGCATCCCCCACGGGCCAACGCGCAGCCATTAAATCTGGCCTGTGAGAGAAACTGAAATTAAAAATAAATAATAATAAAAAAGTCAATAATTTGATAAATACTTTTCACATAATATTGGAATACATAAACACAATCCCTGGGCCATGTCCACTAACAATATTTAAGGAACGATCACACGTGTGAACATGCCTCTTATTAATGCATGGAAGATGAAATTTTGCATGTTAGGAATCTTTGAGTAGGGAAACACCGCTGAGATCTAAAAAAAAATTGACATGGTTTTAGGTATACTTTTAACAGAAAATAGAACTGTGGCACTTGCCGCCTGTGAATTTCCCCCTCAAATTTTGTTTCCACTTAGGGAATTTTTGCTCTCAGCTATTCCCCCCACCCCGCTATTTTCCCCTGCTATCTTCCGCCAGTAATTTTTTCTCCTAGTTTTCCCACTGAGTTTATATAAGTTCATTATACTATAGGCAGAACAACTATTTGGGTTTTTTTTGTATTTGTTATTTTTGCTATTTTTGTTTTCTTGTCTTGTCGTTGTAAGTTTACATCATGCAGGTGTGCCGCTGATAGCATTATAAAATCAATTAACTGATTGAATCTTCTCGATGCATTTGAAATACTGATGATAAGCCTATTAAGACACATTGTGGAAATGTTATTTTAAAAAAGAAATAAAGTAAAGAAAACAGGAAATCTCCTTTGCCCTATGAAAATCACACCTATTTCCTAGTCATTCTATATATACCATTGTCTGCATCAGCTAATACTTCGGCAAGAAGCGGAAATATTATTTCTGGTATGAAGTGGCAAAAGGAAGGGTGTAGGAATATGTTTTAGTACTTATTCATTCATGGTTTAACTATCAGTATTAACAGTTAACTTTACTCTTATAAATTACAGGTATACTTTAATGTTACTGTACTACGTTTGTTAATACACTGAATGCAATTGTTGTTTAATGTTTTAGCATTCTCTTTATCTTGTGACAACAAAAACTATGGTGAAGAGAATATTGATATGTATTCTTTACTTAAAAGTTACAGAATTTTAATGTTTGCAGTAACTTCATATTGTTATGTAGCACAATAAAAAGAACCATGAATTTATAGATATTTGGAAAAGCCTTATCCGACGTATTCAGGGACTAATATTGTTTTAGTTTTTAATGTAATTTCTTCCTCATAAAATTGGAATTAGCAAAATTGTTAGAAGATTTGTATTGACTGCAAATTTCAGAATTACACGTGTAAATACAACAGAAACTAGAGAAGTACCAAATGGAGTGTAGTAAATAAAATGTATTATATAACAAATGTAAACACTACATTGAACCTCTTTACACATCTATCAAGTGATTAAGTTTATTGACATGTTAACTAACTAGTTGGAAATTATTGGTCTTAAATATTTTGGATCAGCTACATACTCAACTTGATATTGACCCGGTTTAATAATATTATGGTATTACTGCATCATTTTTCCTGTTAATAAATTTGATTTATTAAATCAGTTTAAATTCCTTAACACGTACTGTCGACCCAGTAACCATGGAGCTGTCAACAGTAGAAAAAATAAATTTTGTTATACTCTTTTTAATGTAGATTTAATTTTATTACTTTTACAGTTGGAAGAAAGCAGTGGAGTCTACAATAAAGTTTTGGAAAATGATCAACATGGTTTGCCAGAGAGAGGTTTCACACAGCATCAGGTTAAAGACAAAAAAAAAACTGTTACAGGGATAGTGGTACCTACAGGACCAGGAATCAAAGTGGATGATGACGTTCTGACTGGAATTCAAAATGTACGTGATGATGAAAATCCCTTAACGTGGGTAGCTGCTGGTTATGAAAATGGGGACGTCAAGAAACCACTTGTAAAATGTTCGGAAGGCTCTGGGGATACTGAGGAGATACGAGAAATATTGGCAGACGATCAAGTGTGCTACATTTTGTACAGGAAAACAGAGATTGTTCATGAGGTTCCAACTATTAAGTTTATCTTCATTACATGGTAAGTTTTGTATTGTTATTGTATGTCAGTTATGTATATATTTGTCATGAGTATACAAAAGCAGAGGTCCCAAGGATCCCGACTCACAGGAAACAATTTCCCCCACTACCGCATAAGCAAAAATCTCCCTGAAACCTGACTCCTGCAAAATTTACAGTACATGTTACTTATTATCAAATGTCTCCCGGAAAGGTTCATTTAACCAGGTCTTTCAAAACTGGCTTTGTCCAACCTAGGACCCCTGCAAAAGTGAAAAATATCCAGATTCAGTTACCTTCTTCTTTCTTGTTCTTGTTTGCTGCTGCCTTTCAAGAAACTGATTTTGCAGCTTAACCTGTGTGTGGCCGTGAACAACCCCAATACAGTATTATATTTTTTATACTTATAAAAGTTCTGATGTTTTATTTTGGTTGATGATATTTGATTGTATTTTTATCTAGGGTTGGTGAGAATGTGAAACCTATGACTAAAGCCAAAGTTTCAACAAAGAAATCAGCAGTGCAAGACATTTTCAAAACAGCTCACTTTACATTGTTTATGTCATCAAAATCAGAATTGACGGAAGCTAGTATTAAAAGTGCAGTAAGTTTATTTTAGGGACAATTTCTTTGTATATTGATTTATGAACAAAATAAATGTATGGCCGAGTGAGTTTGAGAGGGTTGCTCATCTCATCTAATGTCAGATCTACTGTTTTTAAAAAATTTTAAATTCTAAGCATTTGTTTTTTGTCAAAGGGCCTCTTGACAGTGATTAAGGTTACATTTGGGGTCCTGTCTCATGTTTCTGTTTGTTATAAATTTTAATGTTTGAGACAAATAAATGAAATCAAATGAAAAATAAGTACAATAGAACCCTTTCTTTGGGACACCACTTTTAATGTGACAGTATCCCTATTAATAAGACACCCCTATTTAAGGGGATACTTTATAATAACATTAGGACCAACTATTCAGGGGACACCACTGCAGGGAACACTTTTGTGGTGTTGAAGTTCTTTTTTGTAGGGTTCTACTGTATATGGAAATGAACCATGAAAATGTTGATAAGATGTTACAACTCGATATACAACATTGATTTTATTCTTATGTTAAAAAAATTGATTTGGACCGCCAAACTGCAAGCTAGCTAATCCAGAGAGTTCATTTGCAATCAAATACAATTCATTGTTAAAATTAATAGTTTTCTGTGGATCATGTCTAGTAAGGTGCTTGATAGTTTTGTAAATTTAATAAGATATTTCTTTGTCTGTCTTCTTGACCTGATTTGAATACAAATTTAAAACTATATAATAATAAAAACAAATTTAAAATTGGTGAAGTAGAGAGGACCCAGGCACTTTCAGTTTGATCAGTGACTTTAATGCATGATAATTTCTTACTTCCTCATTCGTATATTTTGTTTGTTTCACAGATGAGCATCAGTGGTTGATCAAACAAACAGAAAGAATGATCCTCATTGCAGACACATAGTTAAAGCTAGCCTTGCTTGCAGGTTACAGCAGTTTTAAAGATGTATTGTTCCTTAAAAATTACAAAAAATTATTTAAAAAAAATTTGAAATTAATTTGCTCATTTTTTGCAGTAACATACAAACTTGATTATAGAAATTATTGAATTAAAAAAAATGTGTACCCTGTTTTTTAAACTGGATAAATATAATAATAAAAATAATAAAACACTTCCAGTGAATGGAAGTGTTTCTATTATTTTTTTTGCTGTAAAATTATGGGTAAACTTTTTTTAAATCCACTAATTTCCATATTCAAGTTGATAATTTTTATGCTACTTCTAAATGGGCAAATTAATTTCACAAATGATAATTTTGCAAGGGAATATACATCTTTAACGCACGTATTCCAACTCATGTCTTAGCAGCAGCTATCCCATTTTGAATGAACATCTATGTTGTTAAAGAAGCAACAGCTTCAGTTTAAAGTCATTTATGTTGGTAGCATCCTACTAGTTTATGTTGGTAGCATCCTACTAGTTATTTCTACACATCAGCTGTTGAGAACATAAACAGAGTTTTGAACAACAGCTTTATAAGTGACCAATTTTGTTTACCATTATTATTATTATTTATTGATTCTTTCACAAAGATATTCCTAAGTAATAGAAACATACTAGCATCTTTAATTAGTTATTTAATAAAACATTATTTTCCAAATCATTATTTAACTCAAAAACATCAAATGAAAATATAATGTTGTTGATAGACTAGGGTCAGTAACAATATTAAAGAGACACAATCTGTAATAAGTTTAACCATGCTCCATAGGAAATCAATTTTGTTGTACAACTGATTTTTCTAAGACACTAAAAGGGAGTTTGACTAAAAACTTAGGAACGGGGAATGAGATACAGATTTGGGCTAAAATGGTGGTTTTCCCAATTTTGCCCCTGAGTCTGGCTTTTAGAACTTGGGAATATATTCAATATTTGAATTGGTTATACTTTGTATATTTAAATAAATTATTAGTTTTTCAATTCAAAATTAGAATAATAGTGATAGAGGCTATTTGTATACGCCTAACCTATTGCTGAAATGGTGCTTAATGCAAGGACTAGTAGCTCGTTCAGTAGAATTCTTCTCTGCTAAGGACCACTTCGTGTCTGTGCTGCAACTGGGTGAAACTGGTCCCAGCACATCATGCCAGGTATCATGTTGAATGATGTAACCCACTACCCATCTTCAATGATGTACCCCCTACCCATCTTCAATGATGTGCCATCTACCATCTTAAATGATGTACCCCCTACCCATCTTCAATGATGTACTGGGTACATGAGTCAGCTGTGTACACACGAGTTTATAGTCCTTATCTGAGAAGACTTGTTTCACCACCAGAAAAATGGGCGCTGCACAGCCTTAACAGCAGGCCCCATCAATGTGTATGCAAACAAAATTTCTTCCTCACTTATTGGGCTTATATATTTATAACTTTCCAATTTTCTTTTGCGTATATTCTTAAATTTGATTGTAAGGTTGTGGTATTAAAGTCGGTATTTCAGAGAAAGCTGAAGTACTTTGATCTGTGATGTTTTGGAAATTTTAACTTGAGATTCATTTAAATGACCAAAATTTTCAAATTCATTTTTTATATATTTGTATATATATATTTCACCACCGAGGGTATTTATCTTGTGTTTTTTGTTTTAATCAATTATTCTTAATGGTTTAATAGTAAATAATTACCTTGTTTGTCAGTTGTATGATCAATTTAATGAAGATTTAAAGACATTTTTTATACTATTTTCAGTATTTTTCGTAGGCAACGCTTATATGAGATTTATAAACAAAATGCAGTAATTTGGCAGTGGCACATAAGAGGAAATGTGTTATTGGAAATGTAGGTACAGTACCAGTATTGTAAAGGATTAGGGATCATATATAGGGCAAACCAAACAGTATAGAAATTGATGGGGGAGGTGGATAATATTCAATAAATAAAACAATGAATAGTAGAATAACCTTAGAATAACTAACTGTATTCACTGTTATTTCCCAGCTCACACACACACACACACACACACACATTCAGCAATAACATCTGCTAATTCATAAATAATATGTGGACAACAATTCTACAAGCCACATCATTTAACTTAAATGGTGTATTTGTTCAAGAAATCAAATTCTCAGCCACACGAATGTTATTGGTCATATTTCATTGTGTTTTGTAATTGTTAATGTTCAATAATGCCCACGTTAATCTGTATATATACTGTCTCTTATACACATCTAGATGTGTATAAGAGACAGTCCTACTAGTTTATGTTGGTAGCATCCTACTAGTTATTTCTACACATCAGCTGTTGAGAACCTGTCTCTTATACACATCTAGATGTGTATAAGAGACAGTAGGGAATCATTACATATTTTGTAAGAAAAATAAGGAATATTCTGAGAAAAAAGGAATATTCTGACAATGTTAATAAAGATTTAACTCAATACAATTATGAAACCAATAATAATAATATATATTACAAATTAAAAACTGTTATGTAAATATTCACGCATTCTTGTCATGAGCCATGTACTCTGAACGATTATCTTTTCTAACCACCATTCGTAATGATCCTTATATAATCTTTTTTCATTCAAAGTGCCTCTTGAATTTAATAATTTCCCATAAGAACCCCTCGATTTTCATCTATTTCCATAAGCGCCCCCTCAATTTCCACTCTGTTTTCATAAGCGCCCCTTTTAAATAAGCGCCCCTCAGAAAGTGGGAAAAAAAATTTTTAAGCGCCCATGCGCTTATTCGCGCGAGTACGGTATGGATATACCATAGCCGTCGGAAGCATTTTGCAAGTAGTCCGGCCATTGTAAGAGCTCGATGGGGGAGAGTCATACCCACCTCACCCCACCATGGTTGGGATGAGGTGCGAAAATTTGAGGAAATAGTACCTCCAGATGGCCGGAAATGACACTTTTATAGTAAAATTCTTCATCATCACATCACCATTATAGTCAAAATGAAGAAACAAATTTCTCATGATCTTTTATCGTCGATTTTCCGCAAATATATCTAATTAATATGCATGATGTACCAAAGAAAATAAAACTTAAAAACATGGTCTTTTTTATGTATTTACTTTACTTACTTCAAAGCCGTTAGTCCACACCCACCTCATCATGGTTGATGAACCTCAAGATGGCCGGAATGACACTCTTATATAATAAAATCCATCATCATCACATCAACATGATCTTTTATCTGCAATTTTCGGCAATGATAGAGGTCTAATTAACTTCTGTATTGTACCATAGAAAATAAAACTTAATTGTCTTTGATGCATTTACTTTAATTTACCTACTTTCTGTGCCGAAAACCAATATTATACTTTTTCACATACTTCTCAAATTATAATAAAGGCACGCGCACTCGAGTCGGGTATTACAGATAATTCATAGTGGCCAGAGATACCGGAATCTTGCTATAAGAAGATGTACAGTACTCTACTTTGGCTCAGCGCTCGTTAAAACCTGGGTCATTTTTATGCAGTTCATTTCAACAACTTTCAGGAATCGGAAATGAAATTGCATTGTGATTGTAAAGTTAGAGGGTCCGGACCAAAACTCCCTTAAAAATATGTGTGGGGGGTGGGGGGTGTCCGCCGTCTCCCTATGATCTGCGCCCTCGTAACCAGTCACTACCCGGTCCCCTCATGGGGCGGACACAACACCATGGTTGAAAAAATGGCTCCTCTGCCGGGAAATAGCACATGACAAAATGAGTGTTGGATTAGAAAAAGAATAAATAATTGTTTTTTTTATACCACTCCAGGTGGCGTTTTACATATAAACATTACTCAATAGACTACGCAGGAGACTTTACAATTAATAACAAATGTGAGTACAGTATTGAACATTTTGCATCGTTAATTCACTGGTAGTTAAATGGGTGTTCTGTCATCTGATTCATTAAATGGTTATTATTTTGACTACGTTTGTTAGGCAGCCGCATTGAAGGCATTGACAATTTCCTCGACAGAAGCATTCACTGACATGCTGCATTCTATTCAACAACATACATTCCAAGTTACTCAATAAAACCACGAAGACCTGAAACTGGCTAAAAAACGTTATTTACGGTAATTACAGCTTGGGGCTTGTTAACTTCTGTTCCTTGTTTACATTGTAGATTCGTATCTTTTTTTTTTCATTGACAATATACGCAATTTATTACCAAGAGCCTGTAATTATCTGGTACCCAACATTTAATCCTGAATAATCGAAATTTGTTATAGCCCGACAAAAATATTTTTTATATTATTTTTTAAGGACAGCTAAAGTGATCGGGGTAGGGCCAAATGACACCGTCGTTATCAATATTGATATTAATAATTATCTTCATGGATGTGTACTGCCATGATGTCAATAGCAAATAAAGCTAATTCTGTAGTGACGGATCTGGACATTCGAAATAGAAAGGATCCAGGAAAACTTTGACATATGGATTTATGATTATGTCACCTCAGTGGTCCATGCTCTAGATGGCCGGAAACGACTTAAATATGAATACAATTTTCATATTTTTTCTTCATATTCGAATTGTTTTTTAAATAATTTAGGCGGGGGCCGATTGCACACTTTCCCTTTTCAAATATACAGAGCAGTTGAGCATGTTATATAGGAATGTAATAATAATATTAATAATAATAATAATAACTATTATTATTAGGCCTATTATTATTATTATTATTATTATTATTATTATTATAAAGTGCTGGTATCCGTTTAAGAGGAAACGCTCATGGCGCCCCTCCAAAAGAAAGTCAAACACATTTACAATACATTTGAAATACAGATACATTTTTAAAACCAGACATGAGCCGTACATGAC